ATTAAGATAAGTTGAGTTATGGAGTTTAGAACTTCAGTTTTGGGTCATTTTTGAATTTCTATAACATCACAGACCAGAAAAATGATAAAAAAATGTTGAAAAAAAAAATTTCCAAATTTGAATGCAGATTTTTAGAGAATTGCTCCAGAAACATTTAGAGGTATGCCACTTCAAATTCCGATTAAGATAAGTTGAGCTATGGACTTTTGAACTTCAGTTTTGGGTCATTTTTGAATTTCTATAACATCACACACCAGAAAAATTACAAAAAAATGTTGAAAAAATAAATTTCCAAATTTGAATGCAGTTTTTTAGAGAATTGCGACAGAAACATTTAGAGGTATTCCACTTCAAAGTCCGATTAAAATAAGTTGAGTTATGGAGTTTAGAACTTCAGACTTGGGCCATTTTTTACATTGTTTTGAATTTCTACATCAGAAAAATGACAAAAAAAATAAAAAAAAATATATTTCTAAATTTGAATGCAGTTTTTTAGAGAATTGCGATAGAAACATTTAGAGGTATGCCACTTCAAATTCCCATTAAGATAATTTGAGTTATGGACTTTTGAACTTCAGTCTTGGGTCATTTTTGAATTTCTATAACATCATTTCTGAACATCACACACCAGAAAAATGACAAAAAAATGTTGAAAAAATAAATTTCCAAATTTGAATGCAGATTTTTAGAGAATTGCTCCAGAAACATTTAAAGGTATGCCACTTCAAATTCCGATTAGGATAAGTTGAGTTATGGACTTTAGAACTTCGTTCTTGGGTCATTTTTGAATTTCTAAACATCACACACCAGAAAAATGACAAAAAAATGTTGAAAAAATAAATTTCCAAATTTGAATGCAGATTTTTAGAGAATTGCTCCAGAAACATTTAGAGGTATGCCACTTCAAATTCCGATTAAGATAAGTTGAGTTATGGAGTTTAGAACTTCAGACTTGAGGCATTTTTTACATTGTTTTGAATTTCTACATCAGAAAAATTACAAAAAAAATAAAAAAAAATATATTTCTAAATTTGAATGCAGTTTTTTAGAGAATTGCGACAGAAACATTTAGAGGTATGCCACTTCAAATTCCGATTAGGATAAGTTGAGTTATGGACTTTAGAACTTCGTCTTGGGTCATTTTTGAATTTCTATAACATCACACACCAGAAAAATGACAAAAAAATGTTGAAAAAATAAATTTCCAAATTTGAATGCAGATTTTTAGATAATTGATCCAGAAACATTTAGAGGTATGCCACTTCAAATTCCGATTAGGATAAGTTGAGTTTTGGACTTTAGAACTTCGTCTTGGGTCATTTTTGAATTTCTATAACATCACACACCAGAAAAATGACAAAAAAATGTTGAAAAAATAAATTTCCAAATTTGAATGCAGATTTTTAGAGAATTGCTCCAGAAACATTTAGAGGTATGCCACTTCAAAATCCCATTAAGATAAGTTGAGTTATGGACTTTAGAACTTCGTCTTGGGTCATTTTTGAATTTCTATAACATCACACACCAGAAAAATGACAAAAAAATGTTGAAAAAATAAATTTCCAAATTTGAATGCAGATTTTTAGAGAATTGATCCAGAAACATTTAGAGGTATGCCACTTCAAATTCCGATTAAGATAAGTTGAGTTATGGACTTTTGAACTTCAGTTTTGGGTCATTTTTGAATTTCTATAACATCACACACCAGAAAAATGACAAAAAAATGTTGAAAAAATAAATTTCCAAATTTGAATGCAGATTTTTAGAGAATTGCTCTAGAAACATTTAGAGGTATGCCACTTCAAAATCCGATTAAGATAAGTTGAGTTATGGAGTTTAGAACTTCAGACTTGGGGCATTTTTTACATTGTTTTGAATTTCTACATCAGAAAAATTACAAAAAAAATAAAAAAAAAATATATTTCTAAATTTGAATGCAGTTTTTTAGAGAATTGCGACAGAAACATTTAGAGGTATGCCACTTCAAAATCCGATTAAGATAAGTTGAGTTATGGAGTTTAGAACTTCAGACTTGGGGCATTTTTTAAAAACGGACGGACATGGCAAGTTCGACACGGCTATTGATCCTGATCAAGAATATATGTACTTTATATGGTCGGAAACGATTCCTTCTGCCTGTTACATACTTTTCAACGAATCTAGTATACCCTCTACGAGTAACGGGTAAGTGTAAGAAATCAACTAAATGTGGCTGCGCGTCGTATATCATCGGTGAGTCATAAGGTCGGAAATGCTAGTCATGTACAATTTCAAGGCTTATCTATTATACGTGAAAATTAGTGAAGTAAATTCAGCAAGTGTAATAAGCCTAAGTAGGAGATAATGTCTAGGTTCGTCGTTTATAATACATCACAAATGATACTAGATAACGGCCAACCCTCTATCTATTAGCTTCACCTGGCAGATACTCCTCACAATAGGGTATTATCTGCCCGCTGACCCGAAAGAAAGCCCACAAGTGCTCGATAGGAACCCAGAAGCCCCTCGATGGCATCGCTTGGCCTTATCTCGTCCCTCGCCCCCAGAAACTGGAGAAGCGAGCCACTTGACTGGCTATCTCGATATTGATATCGGCTATCGGGGAGCCAAAGATCGTCCATTGGCCTTTGGCATTCGACGCAGTGTGAGTGGGGGAAATTTAAAACCCCGGAGAGGCACTACGTTGAACAACCTTGGGGAGTGACTCACTTGGCGTTCGGCGCTCCAATCAGAATGCGAATAGCAGCAAGGCGGGCGTGGAGAAACAAGTGCGGTGCAACTGAGTAAACAGCGAAGAGGGAGCAAGAGGAACCGAATAAACGGCGTGTGAGGGAGGACAGCATGAGGAGTGATAAGAGTATATCAAATATATCACAAAAGCTGACTTTCCTCTTCCTTTTGAGCCTCTATTATTTTATTTACTTATGCAATAACTTTGACGCCACACAGACTGACAATTTCCTGTTAGGTTGCTGAGGTTCCAGTCATACATATATCATTACTACTTTTTAATAATGCGATCCCAGAGTATGAATGAAAAAGGCCTTTTAAACAGTCAACCAATTAATGAGCAGAACATTGCATGTATGATGTCCTGAAATAGTGAATCAATTGAATATGCATGCAACTGATAGCTTTCCCAGTCCGCTGCGTTTAATTAATGTTTTCCAGCGCCGAAACAGCACACATTGTTGCTGGGAATGGGAAGGGGAAATGGAAAATGGGAAAGCGGGCCGAAGAAAGTCGAGCTTTCATGGGAACCCATAAATTCAGTGGCCAAATGAAGCAAGATGATTGCAGGGCGGATTAAAATCAATAGGCAGCATGCAGGTGATTGAGTGGGGGAATGCATGTAGTTACTTATTTACTACAGGCATATTCGCACTCAGGTGGTGATACATACATGGCATTTCGGCTGCTAATTGAATTTTTAATATTTATTGCCTGGCCAGGACACATGCCACTAGTAAATGCCTGCAGCCGAGTGAAAATGTCTCTTGATGGCCAGAGAATTCGTGTGCTGACATTACAATGGACGCAATATGGCAGGGATTTGAGGCGTTTATTGATTCAAGCAGCAGTCCAAGCCGAAGTCTGCACTGAGGCTGCCAAGGCATCGATTGGCCAGGACGAGGATGGACCGTGCAACAGTTTCGAGCCATGTGCCCTGGCTTGCCACAGATCCACCACACCATACTTATGCATATACATACATTTACTGGCTGTCAGGGGCGATTATGCATATACATTTGGACATACATATATGAGTCTGCCTACCGGCAACCGATGGCAGGGTGCTCCCATTCTTATTTTCAGCAATGCGGCACTAAATTTAGCAAATAAAAGCTCACCCGGCTCTTTCTTTGGCAGCCAGAAAGCAAGCTGATGCCAGGGGCTTCGAAGGGGGGATACCCAGTACCATTACAGTGCGGTATTTCTTATTCATATACCTAGCCTTCCCGTAATATTTGCAAAACACACACCACACACAGTTTTCTCTCTGTGCACGTGTACAGTGAACACTTGTTCATCGAACATCTGGTGTTCACTTTTAAGCCAGCTCGTTCACTCGCCCACAAAAGCACACGTGATACCCTGTAATCCGAAACCAGGAAGCATCCGCCTCAGACTTACGCAAATGCCCAGTGGTCTGCTGGTTGCTCGACTCTCATTTTTGCATTTTCCTCCGGAAAAGTCCGCGCGCTGGAAAAGTCAACACAAGTTCACCTCTCCAAATTTGTGCGTGGGTGTGGGTGTGGGTGGAAGGTGGTAGGTGGACGATGGGCGGGGTGTGGGTGGCGATTCGAGAGGGGCGGAGCGTGGGTGGGTTTATTTTTAGCACTGCTGCGACGGAAACGCGATAAGTCGGAGACTTCTGCTTCCGCAATGTTGTTGTTTTCGCAGCCGTTATTATTAACAAATATTACGCTTTCCACGGGCTCTTCTTCTTGCTTGTTTGCGTTGACAAATCTCGCTGCGCTTTCACAATCACATCCAATCGGGGGAAACTCGTTTTTCCGCCCGTTTCTCGCCACTCACTCCTTCGTTTGTGAACCGTTTGCGTCCGCGTACAATGGGAAAATCTTCGTTTTTCACACGCGTTTATCACAACAGTAAATAAAACAGCAATTTAGCCAGATTAATCAGCACAGAGAGGAGAACTTTTAACCGTGAAAAATAACCGCATACTGAAGTGGCGAAAATCCGGGAGAACGCCACGGAAGAGTTCGCGGAAAATACCAAATCCATGGAACGGCATATAAGCTTTATTATCAGGGGCGTAGTAAAAGGCTACTATTTGTGTTAGCCACTCTCTAGAATTTTTAAATGCTTGATATTTTTGTGAAGTAAAGAATACTTTATTTGAAATGGCTACCGTACTGCCGAAATTAACAAAGTAATAATTATAACTATATATAAGTAATTTATAATTATTTCATAATACCGAAAAGTGTGATTCCCCCCAAATTTCAGTTGGTATTCTTTTTCGGATTGTGATGAGGTAATTTCTGGCGCTCCGCCAGCGGTCACTCTGAACACGAGTTCCAATTTGTTCTGGAAATGGAAATTGACTTGGGATTTGCAGAAAAAGGCGACGAAGCCTGGCTGAGCAATCGCTACTTCCCCAGCAAGCTGGGCGGCCAGCCCGCCTGGCTGGAACTGGAGGCCCTGCCGCCCACGTCGCAGCTGCAGTGCAACAAGTGCCGGGCGCCCAAATCCTTCCTGGCCCAGCTCTACGCTCCCTTCGAGGACGAGTTCAACTTTCACCGGTCCATCTATGTGTTCCTGTGCCGGAATCCCGACTGCCAAGAGGCCCAAAGTGCAGGGTAATCCATTCCAGCTCTGTTAACTGACTTGAAACCTAATCTTACGCTAATTTCCAGCAATTTCACAGTGCTGAGGTCGCAGTTGCCTCGGACGAATAAGTTCTTTTCGGAGGAGGAGCCGAGCGACGTGGGAGAACCCCTGGTAGGTATAGCAGCCATAATTTCAAAACACTTTCACTTCAGTAAGTCCTTTTAGTCTGCCGTTCCCTGCCCGAAGAAACTGTGCGCCGCCTGCGGTTGCCATGCTCCCCACGCCTGCAGCAAATGCAAAGCCATACACTACTGCTCATCGGAGCATCAGAGGGCCCACTGGCCGCAGCACAAGCCGAACTGCGGGGCAGCAGGAGAAACCACTGAGAAGCCCTTAACACAAATCGTTTTCCCAGAGTTTGAGATTGTGATGGACAGCAATCCCGTGGAATCTGGCGGGGACAAGGACGACGAGGCACGTTTAGCGGAGTTTCAGGAGCTGGAGGCCAGTGGAAAGACGGGTGACCTAACCAATGTTTCCGAGGCGGAGATGGACAAGTACTTTGGAAACTCGGCGGCCGCCGATGACAAGACTTTCCGTCAATTCAAAAAGCAAATAGCAGCCGAACCTGATCAGATTGTGCGCTACAAACGTGGAGGCCAGCCGCTCTGGATCACCAATACAGTCAAAACGGTGGAGGAGCAACTAAAGAAGCTGCCCAACTGCACCGCTTGCGGTGGAGACCGTCAGTTCGAGTTTCAAATCATGCCGCAAGTACTGACTCTTTTAGAGGACGAAAACCTGGACTGGGGCGTCCTGGCCGTCTACACTTGCGCCAAGAGCTGCCCCATCGATGGCTACGTGGAGGAGCTGCTTATCAAGCAGGACATTGTGGCGGAGGAACAGAGTTGACATTAAAATGCGTACATTTAAATTTTATTCTTGTCAATTACGGAACACGTGAATATTTACTTTAGCTTAATGATGGGGAAGTAGCTGTGTTTGGAGAAGTCGAACTCTGGCTGCCGCTTGACTTCCTTCTGGTGACCGCGGGCCAGCACATTCATCACCACAAAGTTGGTCCGCGCGATTTGCAAGAGGTCCAACATCTGGAGGTAACGAAAAAAATATTTATCCATGATAATCAATTCAGAATCTCCATTGACCTACCTCCTGATCTGGGTTTTGAATGCTTTCAAGAACATTGCGAGCCTGGTCAAAGTGCTTGGCCGCATAGGTGTACAGATCTTCGACGCTGGGTCGCATCATGTGCTCCCGGATGTTTTTAAACTCTGCGTACGAGACGGGCGGCGGACTGGTGAGGGTGGCGAAAGGCAGGAAGCGTCGGTTGTAGCGGATCTCCTCGTTGTCGAACTGGGACAGCGGCAGGCGCACGCGTCCGTCTTTGGTCAAGGCGCCCATTGCCTTGTACATTCCGCCGCAGAGGCTGAGTAGCGCGTGGTAGAAGACGATCTCGGCGCGGTACGGTCTTTGAGTCTTTTTGTTCTTTTTCGGCTTGGCCGCCTTGCGGTTCTTACCCGCTCCTCCGCCGCCCGACTGAATCTTACTTTGGTGCTCGGCGTACTCCTCCTGAGCCAGGAGGATGTTCTCCGTTCGTGTCAGCGCGGACACCAGGAAGCCAATGAGGAACTCGTACGTGTACCAGTAGATGTAGAGGAACTCATGCACAGCATACAGTTCCAGCTCAAAGCCGGACATCAGGAAGATCAACATCGCACGGAAACAGTTGTACAGCACCCATGTGGAGAAGTGGGTGCTGTGCTTCAGAGCGGTGGCCATGGGCTCGTTTCCTTCCATGGCTCGTTCATTGGCCAGTTGATTCATCACAGAGTCCAGTCGCGCTGCATCCACTTGGATGGTGTCGAAGTTCTCTATCAAACGCGCCAGCTTATCCCGCTGTCTGGCACGATTGAAGCCGCATATTCGAATGAACTGCGTGAAGGTGTTCATGTTGATGCAGTAGCGGAAGAAGTTCTCCAGGTGCTGCTGGACTTTGGGATCTGCTGCCACTGGGTGCTTGGCATTCAGTACGGGTGGCGAGTTAAAGATTTGAACCGAGTGGCGCAGGAAATGCTTCATGGGAAGCTTTCCATGCGCCATCCTCATGTTGGCGCTGAACAGGCTTTGCAGCACGCTTCTGGACAGGATGCACTGGCCCGACTTTTTGCTGTACTCGATGAAAAAGTTCTGGAAAGCGAGTGTGTATTACACATTCTGTTAACAACAAGTTGACATGACACCCACCAGCGCCGAATAGTAATCCTTGTGCTTGGTGACTTTGCAGGCGTATTTGAAGCGCGAAATCATTTCCTCCAGAAACTGATAGCTGGCCGGACGATCCCTGATCTTGATGCTACGCGGGAACGCGGGTGGTTGGCTACGGTCGTGGATGCGTGGAGAGAAACCCATCGGATTGGGAGCGTCAGCTGGAGGTTAAGGAAGGAAATACTTAGCACTTACAAAGGGAAGTTGTCTGTTACCACTTACACCCCTTCTCGGGTTGTGTGCCCCGATCCAATGTGTTCCTTATTCCTGGCAGCATCTCGGAGGCAACAAGCAGGATTTTGTAGATGTCAACCTTGTCATCGACGGTATCGTTGCTGGCCATCTGTTCCACGTGGTAGATCACCTGGAAAAGATGGCGCATGAAGCGCAGGCGGTGAACTACAGCCATCCAGTCCTCCGTGGAAGTCAGCTTTTTGCACTTGCGTATGAGCTCATCCTCCACATCCTTTAGCGAGCTATAAACAGTTGCTGGTTGCGCCTTTTCCGCAGCCAGAAGAGCTGAATTCCCGTACAGCTGGAAGTCCTCCTCCTCGTTGACAGCAGCCACGGCAATAATGTTCTTAATGACCACGATAAGATTGCGAACGGCAGTGCAGAAGACGCGTAGCGCCTTATCCTTGATCTGCGAGGGAGCGTGCAGGTAGAGGCAGGTGAAGAGCACCTGGTCCATGGAGTTGCCCTCCAGCCAGGACACCAGGCAGGAAAACAGAGCATCATAAATGCCAATCAGTTCGGAGGGCGTGAGATCGTCCAGTTTGATGGCGCCCGTCTGGAAACAGTCCACTATTAAGATACACATAGTTCAACTAGAGGTCGGAAAGAGAAATCTCACGGCAATGGCTGCCTCGAATGAGGGTGGCGGAAGATCCTGCTTGTCGAAGCCCATGCCCACGTCCATCTTGGGGTCCATGATCTCTATGGCTGACATAGCCTCAAAAAGACCGAACAGCATGTCCTGGGCCAGTTCCCCGGGCTGCAGCTCCGCACAGGCGTCGTGGAACTCCTTGGTGACGTCCACCCAGCCGTGCATCGGGTACTGGGTGATGTCCTCGGCGGCACTGCCGCTCCGCATGGTGCGCTGCACTTCCGGGTCCAAGAATCCGCACTCGCCCACGCTCCACTCTTCCTGCTCCAAGCTAAGGGCCCGGGCAGCTGCAGCCGCGGCCGCCGTGACCGCCTGGAAGTCCGGAGGCTCCGCAACGCTGCTGTGGATATGTGTGTGTAAATTTAGATGGTTGGTACATCTGTGGGTTCTTGCCGGCGGTCTAGGGCTCACCTTCCGTTCATGGTGCTCGGATCTGCCTCCACCGGCAAAGTCGAGGGATACATCTTCTGTACCTATATTCTACAGGCGGTCAACCTGTAGCTCGATGTGCTACAAATTTTCTTTTATTTATAAAAGTTCTACTTTTTTATGAATAAAAATATGTAACTTCCAGTGTGACCAAGTGCCGAACGGTCAGCCATGCCTTTATGTTGCAAATATACCGCTTGGTACCGAACAAATCATGATTTTCCGTTTTTGATCTGATTTTCTGGTTTTGCAGAGATCGTCAGTGGATACATGATTATTAGAAGACTGATAATCATTTCATAACTTTAAGAAAGATTATTTCATTGATTTTATTTTATTTTATTCATTCTTAAAAAGGCACATGCTTAAGTGCATTCAGTATTTTTCTGCCCGCCAATATCGAGCTTGGCAGCACTGTCAAAGTTAACAGTGTTCTATTTTGAGATATTTTTAAAGAAAGTCATGAAAGACTCTTGGGGTTTTCTCATGATTTTTCTATATTTTTAGCATAGCATTTCTGTAAATTAGGCCCAAATCAAGTGAATCGGTGTTCAAACTGCGGGAATTGAAGTCTACGCACCATTTCCAGTGCTCTGTTGTTCTTAACAGCGACGACCGTTACAACTGTTACCAAGTTCAAATGCTGAGTAAGCTGAAAATGGAAGTAAACAAGAAAAGCGTAGTTCATTGGACTGGCGGCTGGCCATTAACTAAACAAAATGACTGAAAGTGCAAGCCAGCGTTTTCTGATACCCAGACGACCGTCCAGAACGAGCAGAACAGTTCCGCGGCTCATAAAACACGGATCGGAGTACGGGCTCTGTTCCTCCTCTTAATCTCACTTATGTTCTCCCCGATTTGACTAAAGCAAAGAAAATATGCCTTGAATGAAGCATTCAACTACCTTATCAGCCGCGTTTATGACCGCTCTTATCGGTAGCGGAAAGCTCGCTCGCGCTTTCACTCCGCGATTCCACTCCGGATTTCGAGTTCCGCGTCGCCTGTCCCACGGATTGTGGGGTTGACCACCACCCCGAGTGTTACAAGTATCCAAGTTGCGAGTGGAAACTGAATCCGAGGGGTTGGATTGGTTTGTTTACCACGGAGGCCCCACTTTCACTCGCTCGCTCTCCCCAAATCGCTATATTTCTCTGCCTCGGCTCCCAAATCTCTCTTGCTAGTGGCGATTTACTCAAATCAGAACACTCATTTAAACCGAAAGTAATAATGTTCACAGAAATAGGAAAAAATATAAAAATATTAAAAAAAAACTTTAAGTTAGAATGGCCATAAACTAGTTTAAATATTTATAAACATATGATTTTGCATATTTTACTTATTTCTTTAAAGTACGCATAATTTTCGAGTTTCTGAACTTACATTGCTTGAAAAGAGTGCGCCCAGAGTTATGCAACATATTTTAATTTTTATATTTTAATTTATGTAACGTATTTGTATGCGATTCCCTCAAATCCCCACTTAAATCCACTGATTACTTCCTCTGCTGGCACTGAGTCGTCTGCAGAGAGAACGTGGTAGCCCGAGGAGGAAAACCCACTCAATGAATGAGCAGAACGCAGAACAAATGGGCAGAGAGATTGGGATTGGAAGCGACTGAGTTTCTGAGTTCGACCGGCGAACTATTTAAGCAACGCTCATTTGCTCATTGCATTTCAATGTGTTTTCGCTGGCCATTAAAAAATATCACGAAAACATTGGTCCCAAATCGCGACAAGAATTCCGCTTTCATTGGAAAATATCGCGGCCAAAATATTCGAATACATATAAGTTTCTCAAGCCTGTAAAAGCTGGGCATCATTGTTTGAAAAACGTGCTAACGGTTCACTTGGTCGGTCGAATCGGAACGAATCGGGCGAAAATCTCCAAGCTAAATTCCGAAATTAAACGCTTCGAAGTATCCAAATCTAAGGAGGCTGCGTATTAGGTCCACTTATTAGCCAATTTCACGCGTAAGTTGCCGACGAAAATACATTTTTATTTTAGAAACCAGCGGTGACACTTACGCCGCCGCCAAATGTTTTCCATTTCAAGTTCGCCGAGAATAAAACACGAAACACTCACTATAAACTATATCTACATCTACATACATATATATGTCGGACATCGGACCGCAGTGTTTCCCAAACGGCACACACGTCCTAATTAAATGCAAACAGCGAAAACTTAGGCGCCCAAGACGCGACTTTTTGGCAGGCGACCAAATAAAATAGTTTAAATTGGGGAGCTGTATGAAAACACAGATGTTGACGTGGGCACTTTACATGTTTGTAAATGAAAAAGTGGAGGGATTAGCGATAGATATGAGTCAGTACAAGTACCAATATAAATTGCAGTATTTCAGAGACACTGTCAACCTAATCAACCCATCATAAGTTTCGTTTCAAGTGCTGGCTCTGCCAGATAAGATAGCATTCCTTATCAGCAGTGAGAAATCGACCATCCTCCCCGCCAATCGAACAAAACTTTTCATTATTTCGCGCTGAGCAGTGCTCCACATCGATCCGGGAACTTGTTTGTGGCTCAACCCGTTGTCAAGGCAAACCCGTGGGGCGGCTTTAAGTCTTCGAGCCCAAAGGGCAGTCCATCGCCCATCGCCCATCGCAGGGCGTGACAATTGACCAAATTTAATCGTGGCCCACACGCACGACCGAGCTGCCAATAACGAGCAGACAAATAAATGAAATACCAGCAAACTGCACACGGGCAATGAAAATCTCGGTCCTTGGGCGGCGGGAAAAGCAAATATGTGAGAAACAACTCCTTGCCCCGCACAACTTGCCCTAAATCACGCACTCACACACAGAGGACTGCGAGCCATGTGTATCCTATTTATTTCAATTGATTTGGGGGCAACGTGGCGTATGAGCAACGCCGCAGGCAGCGAAAGGAGGAAAAGCTGAAAGTCCCGGCATCTGGCAGCAGGACTCTCGCAGGCACCTCCCCCTCCCCCTCCCCCTCGAACTCTCGACTTTTGTACAGCATTTTGTATCGATTTGATTGGATTTCATTCCATTTGATGCCCCTGCCGCACGGGTTTGTGGCTTTTCAATGCGCTCCAATAAAGCTGACTGGGCGCCTTGCACGCCTGACTTAATTGGATTTAATTACAGGCTGGCCTTGATGGCTCCAACTACTCGCTAGTGAGATGGCTTAAATACTTAAGTAAGTCTACAAGAAAGGGCAGTATCCAGACAAGCACGAATAAGGTTCTTACGGTCGAGGCTAGCGAGGCTGCACTGTAGCTGAAACAAGCAGGGAGTAAAATGCGGAAAACACTGGATTGGATACAAAAGATTTCCAAGGCTTAGCTGGATGCAAACGGAGAAAAGTTGTACCATTTTGCCTTAATTTCGCTGAGTTACGGGCGGCCATTTCTCATTCAATTAAATAAATGAAACTCCATGAATATTCCAGAGAGTTCATCAAGTCCGTAAGCCCACGGAAAAGCCTTTGTCAATTAGTCAAAGCGCTTCAAGAGCCAACCAATTAGGCTAAAATGTTTGTTGCCTCTTGCAGCGAAGTTGATTCCCCAAATCGGCGCCGAGCAGCACAGCCCATGGCCCCGGATTCCCTTTAAAGGACCCTCAGCCAAACAATAACAATGAAAACACATCAAAATCAATCTGTCAACAAAAGTCGAGCAAAGTGCTGACTACACAGACGCCGCCCCGGGAAACTGACAAAGCGTCCTGACTACGTGCCGCACAAAAGCCCTTCCACGATGATTACGTTGTGAAGGAGCACGCCACTCCGGACTCCGTGCTCCGGAGTCCCCCAAGTGTTTAAAACACCCTGCAGCCCTTCAGACCTCCCACCGCCACGCCGAATCCCATTACCCTCCTGAGTCGAGGATGTCGTTTTATTACAAGAGGAAAGACAAACAGCAAAATGGCGCCAACATTGTCAGAGTGTCAGCTTGTTGCTGCTGCTTCTGTTCCCTCTGTTGCTCCTGCTGCTCCAGTGGGTTCTGTTGCTCCGGGCACTCGAGCGGAAGGGGCCAGGATGGGGAGGCGGCTGCCTGGCCTGCAGGATTCAGTATAATCACGATGGCGGCGGCGGTGGCGGTGGCGATGATGATGCCTGTGCACTGGTGCACGGATTTCGCTTGGCTTCCTGCCAGCAATTTGCGCTGCCGTGCGTTCTTTGTGCACTGGGAAAAAGAAGAGGTCGTTAGCTATACTACTGAAAGCTCCTGAGTAGGCGAAACTCCTGCCAAAGGGCAAGTTTGTTTTGACTGAAGCCTAATTAAAACATTTACAGTAGTACACACTAAATGCATTGTTGATAAGGAAGTTAATCAGGTCGAGTGCGCTGTTGTGTCACATCAAGGGTGTGATCAACCGAAAAAAGCAGCAAATTGATAAGCGAACAGAGTGTTTCCCAGTGTTTGTCGGGCTCGGCGCACATGGCGTATGCGCAATGTCGGTGGCGTTGCATCCGCTGCCTGGGTGGAGAAAGGAAGGGATGCGAATGAATGTGCCAGGCAGGTGGAAGGGGCTGGAGCTCATTGTTCACTGTTGCTTGCAACAACAGCAGATCCTGGGAATCCTCTTTTCGCCCGGTTTGTGCCCCAGCAGATGGCAGACATTATCCGCCGCCTGGCTGGGATTTTGCATTTCAATGCATTTCAGTAACTAGCCCGGTTTGAATTGGTCGGGATTTCAGACATCCCTTTCAGCGGCGGCAGGACGAAAAATGCGGGGAACGGCTGCTCGGAACGAGGAAATTGCCCGGGCCCGTGATGAATTTAAATGAAGTTTGCTGCTGAAATGGGCAAAATGCAATTTACAACTTAAATGGGTAATTTGCAGATGGAACTGAGCGGTGGGGGTCCAAATGCAGCGCCTGTGCGGCATTTCCCATGTGGAATTAAACGAGCAATTTGCGCGCAATTCAAATGAATTCAAATCCAAATGAGTCGTGCTCAAACAGTCAGAGCATATTGCTCATATGGCTGGTGTGAATAGCCCGATAATCCATTTGGATCGTTTCCGTTTCACCAGCTCAAACAATTGTGTTTGCCACTCGTGCACTTCTCGCAGATAGCAGCAGATTAATTCTAATGTGCTTAGAATGCCAGCGGATCACAGAGCTGGGGACCAACTGATCGACTAGTTCGTACTCAGCGAATGAGGCTGAGCTCGACAAGAGCCTGACAAGCCATCCAC